TTCAGGCTGAGTCACCCAAAACCTGCGCCCCAGCGAGTGTCTAGACCTGGAATTCCAATGTGTGCACTGCCCAAACTTGCTAACCCCACAGGGCTTCTGTTCAAGCCACTGTTCGAGGTCACCAGGCAAGGAACAAAGAAGTCCATGGGTGAGTGGTCACTGCTGCAAGTTGTTCCCAGAAATCGCTTCTTATACTCTCCACCCCCCAAATGGTTGCAAAGTCATTAAGACCAAGCCAACTGATTCAGTTCAAGAACAACAATTCTCTATTTCTCCAGATCCCCTCCCGCCCCCACACAGCTGGAGCCTGGTTTCTGCATTTGGGGTTTGAGTCTCTAACACGGGCTAAACTGCGGACTGGGCCGCTTTGTGCCGGTGCGCGTGGATCTGGCTCGAGAGAGTGAAGGTCAAGTTTTCAGAAATCTCGCCAGCCAGTTGATGTTGTATCGGCAGCTGAGAATAAGCCATGGTGGGAATATTTTTACCACGTTAATAGACAAATGCTACGAGTCAGGGCTGCACCCCCAGCCCCCAGGCTGTTAACCATTCATCAGCCTCCACTGCGTTCAGAGTCTGTTGACAGTTTCACCTGTCTCCACCAGGAAGAGAAACTGTCGTTGTGCCTTTACTTCTGCTGCTTTCTGTTTTGACCAAATCCACTGAACTCAGAGCAAAGCAGATGCTGCTCTTGGCCGTGCAAGCATCCTCTCCACCTGTTGCAGAAGGGTTCTCTCCTGGGCCCCAACGCTTTGCTTTTCCCTGGCCTAAGGCGAGTCCACCACTGAGAACTTCTAGGAGGATTTCCAAGAGTGACCTCTACATCGCTTGCCCCCTACTGCACGGGGAGTTTATTTACAAAGCAGAGAGAAGAAGGGGCCCATTGAGGCACCAGTGACCTCGCAGACCTGCCAACGCCTCAGTGCTTCTCTGAGAGCTGGGCCACCACGCCAGAGGCCTGCCACCACGAGCTGTGTGACGGTAGGTACATTACGTATCATCTCTATCCTCAATTCTTCATCTTTGAAATGTCAGTGATTGAACGGTAAGGCGCCTGTTACTTGCCACTGCTCAGAGATTCAGTTCAACTATATCTTCCGTTAGTGTGAATATTGTGGATCTGTAGACAGGGTCACGATGGACTTAAAACCAAACCAAAGATGTCACTGAGACACCAGCAGCAAAAGCAGCTACCTAATTTCTGGAATGGACCCACTTACCAGCTGCGGCATAAGCTCATAAAACAAAAATGAAAGAAAGAGGAGAAGAGAAAAGAAAAAAGCAAAGAAATGAAAGCTTTGTTTTTGTTCTAGCCTCCTAGAGAACAGACCAAAAATAACTGCAGAGACACATTTGGGACGGCGCTGCACTTCACGTGTCCCTTACCGCTTCCTTGTTTAGCTCTTCCCCTTCACATCCACCTGCAGGAGGACATTTCACTGTCCCCAGCTCGTGTACATGGAGACGCAATGTCCTGTCTCTGACGACACTGCCCTGGTTGTGCCTCCCTCTCTCCACCGTCTGGCTTCCTGAAATAGCTTTTTCAGCTCCACCAACTCAGTCACATCAATAATGAACGCCGTGGGTGTCGGTGTCAATATTCTTTGCTGAGAAAGCGCAGCAGGCAAGCTTCTGTTTCAGAAACAGCAAACTCCTTTACCCGCTCAAGCCCCCAGACAGTCGTAAATATAAACGGGTGTCGGTGCTCAGTCTTCACCCGTCCATACCCAACATATCTGGCTGACCCACTGATGGCTCACGAATAATTTTCAGTGGAGTTGATCCTCACAGACCATTAGAGAGTGAAAAATACGTGCCACTGCTTCTCCAGAGTCATAATTATTCTTCATTACACCGCACTGCCATCAACGGCCAATGCCTGTTGCATGGATACATACATGGGAACATCAGAAACTTATGTTTGCAACTATATATAGTCATTAAAGTGTTTTATTTTAACGATAATAGGAACAATTTTCTCCTTAGAAACTGATAACGTTTTTGTGAGTGTATCTGGCAGTTCTTTTAATACTAATTTGCTCTTTCTTCATTAATTTATTCATTTAAAACATATTTATTAAGTGCTGAAGATAAAAAGCTAAAATAAAGCTGCCCTTTGGTGACCTGGCCTAGAGGCGGAAATGAAATCATGAGGAACCACGTAAAACACAAACAGCGCACGTAAGAGCGAGCTGGGGGAAAATGCAGGCGGAATAGGGAAGGGCACCATCTGCCCCTTGGCACGCTCCAAGTGTAGTCCTTGTAGTCTCACTGGAGTTCACCTAAGTAACACCTAGCCAACTAAGCAGGAGAGTAGGGGAGTAAATCCTTCACTTAGTAAAGCTAGTTTATGCTACTCTTTTTATTTTTTAGGAGAAACAGGTAAAAAGAGGAAAAACAAATGCTTTCTTTAAAAAATACCAACCCCCAAATCTTCAGCCATTGGAACTATTTTGGAGTCGGCCTAAATTCCTGAACCGTCTGCCACATTTATGAACAGTGGGTGGCAAGAATGCATGTTCCACTCTCTGCTCCCAAAACCCCAGAAGCCTCCCTCAGATCCCAGGAGAAACTCAGGAATTGTCATCATGTACTAATTACAGGGCAGGGCTCTGGTTAAATACCCCAGAAAGATTTTCAATAAATATTAAAAGAAAAGTCGTTCCCTGGTTATCACTCATTTAACTAGAAAATTCAACTAATGTAGTTTTCTCTGAAACTCTTGGATAATTGACGTATTGAGACAATAAAATGTTCTTGATTACTAAAAGAACATATTGCTCACTCCTAATATTTGTGATAGCTTTGATTCCCAGTTAGGAATTCACTCTGGAGGGCTCTTTGATTAAGTGGAGCATCAACCCCAAGGATTCTCAGGGATCTGGATTCCCCACTCACCATTTCCCAACTTTTTCTCTGTCTCATAAGCTGTAATAAATGCAGAACTTTAGCTTAGAGGTAGTTTCTTAAAACACTCGCTGCGATTCATGGACTGTTTATTGAGGCTCTCTGAAGCGTGTTTTCTAATCTGTGGGGTAACTGGCAAATTACTTTTATCTTCATTTGCCTTCTCACAGGCACAGACCCCCGCAAAGCCCTGGGAGGTGCCCGGGCGTTGGCCCACCTGGTCCTTATTTTACCTGCACTTAGCTAAGACCTCCGTCTCTCTGCCCGACATCCCTCCATCCCATGCCCCCTAGGGGAGCACAAGGAGGCTGTCGGCAGTTCTGGAACCTGGTGAAGGCGAGGAGAGGTGGAGGTGTACTTAGTTTGGGTTTGCTGGGATGTATTTATGTGTCTCACACTCATTTCTGAGGGTACTTAGGTTACTGTATTTGCAATTTTGTATTTTTTTTCATAAAATAGATCCCTGCAAACTGGTTAAGCTTCGAGCCCTGCAAATGCTGTGCCCATCCCCGTGGCTCTACAGCTTTCCAGGGCTCTCTCTCTTTTCCATCAACTGAAAGGGGAAACACGAACTCTGAACAAAGTGCCATGAAGAAACTGAGTCTGTTTCAAAACACATGCCTCCAACTTAACACAATGTACTCAAAACTGTCTGGTTTAGGGTATCAGTGTTTCTACTCCTTTCATTAACACAGATTACCAAAAGTTGACTGAACGATAAAAAATAAAAATAAAAATCTTCAAATCCAATGAAACAGGTATCGCCTGTCAAAAGGATATTCAGATATCACGTAAGCAGTGGGACATGACCCGGGACAGGAGGCGCTCTGGTGGGAGTCACTGGAAGACTGCAGGCATAAAGGTCTCAGGACGCCCTGGAGAACTCATTTTCCAAAGGCCTCCCAAGCTCTCCCGCAGTGGGTTCAGAAGTTTACAGGACTTAAGCACGAAAGAGGAGACGGCACACCTCCCACGCCGGAGCCCTCCTAGGTAAGTAGATAAACAAATAAACCAGAAGAAGAGGAAGGACATGCCAATGTTACCCACGGCGGCCATACCAACGCAAATAAAATACCAAATACACAGTTAAAATTGTTTCAAGTCTCTCTCTCCCTCCCTGTCTCAGGATTCCTACTTTGCTGACGCTAACGTCCCCGGGACTCCGTCCAGGGAACGTGGTTGGTGGCTGGCTCTCCATCACAGCCCAGTGTCCCGAGTCTGTGCTACAACTGCTGTCTCATCGGCTGCCCCGTCCTATACCTCATGACCCAACAGCCTTGATAGCGTTAACATTCAGATCGTGATTTTATCCATTCTCAAAATATAAGAATGTCAAGCAATTCTGACAATTTCACTTGTACTTAAAAGGTAGTTATGGAACATTATTTCATTAAACTAAAAGAAGAGATATTAAAAATTCATGCAAAACATTCAGATGTAACAATCTCACATGTGATGTGTCCCTCTGATTAATTTTATCAGAAGACAATGTATGCAAAGTGTTGACAATCTGTTTCCAAACAATGTGTTCATGGGTCTCCCATTTCTGTATTTTCTTTCTTTTTCTTTGGTGTACTGAAATTATCCTTTAGTTTGTCTTTAGTTTACATTAAAATTGGGATGTTGACAATATACCTATACATAAAATATGGGAAAGAGCAGTACTTGTTGACAGCAGAATGACAGCTCAGTGCAAGGAATCTGTATGTTGTGTCTAAGATCCTTTCAATTAACAGAGTAGTTTTTTCTTGCTCTCGTAGGCAATTTATCACACACTTAATGCAGTTTGTAAAACTCTTCCTTTAGATTTTGGCTTCTTGTACATTTGTAAATATTGATTTCCTGCTAATATTTACTAAGAAACTTGTGATTTTTAGTAGAATCAAATAACGTGTTTCAATGGCTACAATTTCGGGATATAAAAGTCTCTAAGAGGAGGCATCATACAGGCTCTCTGCCGTGCTGGCTGTGCAATTTTGAGAAGGGTCCACACTTGAGGATTGACTTGTTTGTTTCCCTCGTGTAGTGTGAAATGGAATTTTCATTTAGGTTTTATATTATGTGTGGTTGGGTGGCAGGGTAAACTACATTCCTACCTTCATCTCGATTTGTTTGGTGTCTAGATTCTGAAAGAGCAGTTTTACTCGAGTTTTTCCATCATCTGAAGATCCTTTAAGCTGAGAGAATTTAAATCTCCAGAGCACATTCTGTAAAGGAATGAAATTAATTAGTGATTTAGAAGCAAGAGTTCACTTATTTAATTAACATATATTAATATATTAAATAACCTATTTAAATGCAGACATTTGCTTAATTATCTACACTGAGCATGTGATGATTTGTCAGAATCTCTACCTTCTTCTCATTGTTCATTCCACGGGAACTCAACTCCTCACAGCACCCAGCTTTCTTTCTCCCACTCCAGTCAGCCTGGAGTTCCACCTGCCAGGAGAGCTCACCAGCATCCAGTCTTCTCTCCCCATTCCCACTCTACCCTTATCCACCCTCCTGGTTTTCTCATGGGTTTTCCTGTACACAGTCTAAAAGCATCACAAGATCATTACTCCTTTTTCTGCTTGTAAAACTTTAAAAAATCCACTACAAGGTCCACTTCTTGCTACAGTATATGAGACACAGTCTAGAGTCCAGATAAAATGAAAACCTTTAATCCCGTTTGACACGCCCCCATCTGAGGCTATGTTCAAATCACTTAACATTAGTTTCTCCTGAAACAAGTTGAAAAATGTAGATAATATTACCTCTTCATACTAGTGCAAAAATTACTTAATGTTTGCTAAGGTACTTGAAAGATGAAATGTACTCTATGAATAAAGACTCTTACTCTTTAATAAAACAGAAGGCTGCAGCAAATAAAAATGTAATGGCTATCTTTTATAAAAGATAGTCTTTAATTATAGGCACTTCATTTTTTAGCAAGCTATAGATTTAGTTTCTATTAAAAGCATTTATTTTGAAATAACGAACATATTTTTCTCTAGGTATCAAACAAGCAAAGAGTTGGGGAGAAAGGGAGAGTTTCAAAGGCACTTTTACCCCATCTGCCCCTTGATCTGTTTATTCACCACCCACACTGACTTCCAGTTCTTGGCCATGGCTTTCTTTTATATAGAATCTTGCAGCTGAACACAGTCTCTGCATTTCATGGCAAAGTGTCAATGTTCCTTCTGGATTTTGAGAGACGTGGAGTGATGTAGGGTCTTAGGGAACAATTACCCCAGCTCTCTCGTTCTCACGATGAGGAAGCTGAGTCTATGCCTCCCACTAGGACAGGGCCAGGAGCCCTGACTCCAGGCATTAGGGACCTTTCAGACTAGAATTAGTAGAGTCTGTCCAGAATGAGAATATTCAGAATGGTGTAGGTTCCAGAAGTGTCACTGGGCAACTGGAATAAGCCAAAGAAACCACCACCAACAGCACAATTGGAAGATCTGTGAAGGGTGATGGGAACTGGCGCTGGGGCAGCCCCTCTCGCTCTGTAGGCCCCTGCACAGGGCCCTTCCCGGAGCTCCTCCTGTCTCCACGCAGCCCCGGACGCCCAGGGCATCACTCAGCCCCTCTGGGGGCTGGGGAAGACGGCTGTGATTTTAGCCTCCAAAATTTAGTTAAAACAGCCCCCATCTCACCTGCCTTTAAAGGTGCCCACTCCTAGCTTCCATGTGAGGAACCTGCAGTCACCTGAACGTGTCATCAGCAGAAACCGAGAAATCTTGGATATCATGGTTTTGCCTAATTCCTCATAAAATGATCAAGACTCAAACGGCTCTGTGAACAGCAATCACCCAGTCTTTGGTTCAAATTTGATTATGAAAAAGAGCTCAATAGTGGTAAAAGTCTAGGAATTACCTAAATAATTAACATTTACATAGCACTATAAACAGCTGTTAAAGTATTATATACAAAAAAACGTGTAAAAATACCTGTGCGAAAACTCCCTTATTGCTTAAAGAATTCAAAATGGTCCTCACAACTAAGTGCTTCAGGTATATCATTATTCTCTTTTGGGTACATTATTTTTATACTGAAACCATCCTAAGTGAGGGCTGGTTTGAGGAAAATGCTGCCTCAAGACACACAGACACAGTTCGCTGGCTTGAAGCCATGTGCTAATTTTATAACACAGCCCTTGCTCTAGGCGAAGTAAGTCAAGTCCTTTCACCAGCTTCTCAAGAGCACACGTTGCCATGAAGCACCGGGATTCAGTGCAAACGGTCCGGCACGTGCTGGGCAGGGACGGGCAGCAGGCGTGGTCCCCGCGCTTGTGCGTGGCCGTGGCCGTGGCCAACAGACTGCAGTGCAGCAGCGTGTCCTCCGCAGCCCGAACTTTCCAGATCATCAGTGGCGGCCTCTGGGAACTCCTTCTGAACTCTTCTTTCATGTACCTAAAACGGTCATTTTTCTAAAAAGAAAGAGTTTGCTACTTCCATCACGTATGACATTTCTGCACGTTTTATCTAGAAGTGGTTCTGGGTGATAGTTTAGTTTCAGGACGCCGGGCTCTTCTGCAAGACGTGACTGGACTTGCGAGGTCAGAATTCGGCCTTCTTCCACTCACGCGGCTCCAGAGACGCGTCTCTGCCGACCCTGATCCTAATAGCAGCCGTACCACCAACAACCTGGGACGCACGTAGGGGCCGAACCCCCACCCGCCGTCCAAAGGCTGGAGGGAATCCTGATTGTCGGGTCTCAATCTCCGAGGACAGAAACATTCTCCCACGGTTTTACTAATTAAAAACAGTTTTATAGTTAAGTGTATGTTATAGGAAACGTTAATGTTTATTTTTATGATTTCGGGTTGTTAATGATGATGAATCACTGTTCACTTCCTTTGTAGCAAATCTGAATTATTAAAATATTGACACTGGAAAGTATATTTTACTCCCTCATTGTAATAGCTCAACTAGCATTACCAGAAGACGTGAGGATAAAAGGATGAAGTGCCTTGTGGTGTCAGAGCGAAATTCATTTTTGGTATTTTCTTGAACAGCGATGAAGAAACTTTCTTCTCCTTCCCAGTCAGGCCAAAGCCAGATTTTCATTTCTTCTCCCACAAGAAAGTCAATTCCTTTTCAGTTTTTCTTCTTCTTCTTCTTTTTTTTTGTGAGGAAGATCAGCCCTGAGCTAACATCTGCCACTCCTTCTCTTTTTGCTGAGGAAGACTGGCCCTGAGCTAACATCTGTGCCCATCTTCCTCCACTTTATATGGGACCCCGCCACAGTATGCCTTGATAAGCAGTGCGTCGGTGCGCGCCCGGGATCCAAACCTATGAACCCCTGGCTGCCAAAGCCGAAAGGCAGCACTTAACCACTACGTCACCGGGCCGGCCCCACTTTTTCTTCTTTTTCAAAAACTGATCTCTCTGTTCTTCCACATTAGTCACACCTCGGCCCCACAAGATAGTCGGGCTTCAGCCTGAAGAACAGGCTCCTTGGGGCTCAGGCCCAGAACACTTTTATGAGCATCTCCACCGATCACCCCGAACAGAGAAGCATCGTTTTTTTGCTATGTGTGGGGAACATCCAGATGGTAGAACGGAAATTTGAAATGTAAGTTAACAGACAGAGACAAGGCCAGCTTTTCAATACGCCCCCAAGTAATGAGTAAATGTGGAGAAAGTTCACTTTGGTTCTAGATCTCAAACAACTCTGGATTGCACGAATGTGGGCTGCGTGCAGGCTCTGTGACTTGGGGAGGAGGGCTGCGGGGGCGGGGTCCCGCGGGGGCGGGGGTGGGGCGCTGTGGGGAGCTCTGCAGGGGCCTGGGCGCAGACTGGGGTCTCCTTCGAGGCTCTCGCGGCTTCCCCACTTGCGTTGCTCCTCTGTCGTCTACACTGTTTTCTCATTCTTGTTGCTGTTGTCCCCTGCTTCTGCTTCCTTACAACAGAAATAGGGCATCAGTTAGTGCTAAACCAGAGAGAGCAAGAAAAAAGAGGCGAACATAATCATCTTGACGCCCAGCTTGCCTTAATGCAAGTTTGGGAATGGGCAGTGACATGCTTCTGTCCGGGCAGAGGCCCCTCTCATTTCCGGAGTGAAGGTGGAGGGTGGGGGCAGCCAGGCCGGAGTTCTAGTTTATTCTAGTTTAAATATTTTTTTAAAAGTGTCTAGAAATTTAAAAATATCAGATAATGGTCTTCCCATTTATTTTGTAAGTGCAGAAAAATTTCCGTGGCCAAACATATTTCTTTACCCATGTCATTTCGGATCTTTTCAGCTTAACTGCTCTTTATCAGTGTTGAAAAAGGAGAGCTGAGGGCGAATGGATTCGTGCTGGGAAATAACTGCTCTCCCCCTCCCTGGCAAGTATAGAGTTGAGGAATTAGGAGATTTGACCACACCTGTGCTTCTGAGGTGGATGTCTGTGCACACGTCCAGCATTAAAATTTGGGCTGCTTTCAAAATTTAGAGTCCCTTTTCTCACAAGCATTTGGTTACTAAGTATTGCTGCCATGTTGTGGGTCTAGTTTTGACCCAGAAATAATACACAAATAGTCTGACCTAACAGGCTAATACAGTAGAGAAGTGCTAACTATCTTGTGAATAATAAGTGTGGTAAATTGCAATCTAAATATTTCTGGGCCAAAAAATCTACTTAGTTTTTCATAATGACTTATGTAAAGGGCATATGAAGAAAACATCATTTTCATAATTATTCATAATTATTTCATAATTAATTATTTTCAAAATTATTTCATATCCATCTAGAAATAATCAAAAACCTGTTTACACTGAACTTACAAGTGTCATCTTGAAATTATAAATAGTTTATAGATTTGCAACCCATTGGTATATTCTTCACAGTTAATCTGGAAAAGCTTTGCTTTTGAAAATTAATTCGAATATTGTAAATTCTAAAATAAAGTTTTAAGGAATACAAGAAACAAGCCCCTGGAACAGTTTTCTTTTTATACTGTCATATTTTGTTTTCATTTTCAGCTACTGTCTGAATACAAAATAAACACATAAGTATCAGGCCAGAACTTTTTGAAATAAAGAAGTAACCACATAAAAAATGTGAAGTCAGGCGTTCAACTCCAACGGGAAACAGGCGAGGAGAAGGTCCCGGTGTCTGAACCTGAGGTTCAGAGGAGCAAAAAGACGGCTTAACTGAGACTTTATGAAAACTTGACTTAAAGAGAGCAGACTGACACTGAGTGGGTGAAAGACTCAGCGGAGGAAGGTAAGAAGGTCTCCCTGAAAGGCGGAGGTGCTAAGAGGCTGAAAGCTCGGCCGGAGCAGGTTCCAGGGGAGGCTCAGCCCGTCTCCAGCCAGGAGCTCCTCTGTGCCAGGCCCTCCTCTCCCACCACACAGGACCCCAGGTCCCGCCGGAGGAGCCTGCAGGCTTGTTCTAACACAGTCGGGGGCGTGCTGGCTGAGCAACAGCCCCTTCGTTCAGCAGAGCGAGGTGGGTAAGGGCCACAGATAAATACATTTTAATTACAAGGGCTTAGTTTAGTTGTACAGTTCCGTTACAAGGGCATTTAAAACATTACAGCTTCACCCTGAAGGGTTCACAGCCCAGCTTTGCACAGCATTAAGAACGTATCATAGCCATTTAAAATTTCACTTGATCAGTTTTAGGGCTAACCAGGGAAGTGTGCTGAACACAATGGTGGGAAGCCCCTCTTCAGGCCCTGAGCACAAACCGGCCTGACCGTGTGGAAAAAGTACAGCAGGGAGACGGAGAGGGTGTGTCAACAAGGAAGCAGTGTCCTAAAGAGAGAAAGGCCTGGAGCAGCCCAGGAAGAAAGGAGATTCCCTGGATGGATTAAAGTAAGAAGATGTTGTTGGGGTGAGTATGTGGGCATCCTAAATCACCAACTTCTGCTCCCATCTCTGCTCCCCAGAGAGCCCCGGTCGCTCTGGGGGAACCAGGCCCTTCAGTCCAGATCAAACCACACGTGTGAAGGCTCGAGTCTGGGCAGGATGTTAGAGAGGTTGTGTCTTGTCGTTTGCTCCGTCTGAGTTGGCTCTTCCGATAGCACCCTCAGGAACACCAGCCTGGGGAACCAACTTCCTTTCACTCTGATGTCCATAGCTGGGGGGACTGCGGGGGTCCCCTGAAGGGATAGTGCCAGGCACTCCCTCTTACAATGCCTCGCAATCACTAACGCTCCCCCTGGCCTGGCTTGGCCAGTGAAAGAGGTGGGTGGGTACAGTATGGCCCCAAGAGAGCAAGAACATGCTGTGGGACCCACAGGAAGATAGTGAGACGCCAGCTTGCCCGGTGCTTGGCCTGTGTACACTAGGAACCAGACCTGCCGGTTGGGAATGAACCACCCACAGGGCGCTGACACAGGGTAAGTGTCCTGGTGAGCACCTTGCTCTTCAGATAGAGAGCCCGTGGGCTCCCTCTAGGGCGGCCTTGTCTCCAGCCCTTCAGACAAGGCTGGCACGTGCAGCCAGAGAAGTGAACACCGGACCCCCGGGCGGGAGTTAGGAGGGTGGTGAAAAACTGCTTTTCAGGTGAAATTAGGAGAGTCTCCGTTTAGATTTCCTGAAGCACAGGATTACTTGAAACATACGGCAAAAAACAGAAGTGACAAATCAGGCCTGATAGCTAACAAATTGTGCAGGTTTCTTCCTTACTCGAGGACAGCTGCTTTGTTATTTCACTTGTCTCAGAGGTTGCATCTGATAAGATTGTGCAGATCTAGCTTAAGACCAAATAGTACGAACAGCAGGTCAGGGAGCCTGTAGTGGGGGAGCAGAGTGGTGGACCAGGTACAGTGGGCAGGCCCCTGCATGGGGACGGGGAGCCGTTTGCCCTCTCTGTGACCTTGATGTTGGACGGAGACTCGAAATCCTTCTTAATATTAAGTATTTATGCAAATAGATCTTATTATCATTCTGAACACTATGTAGACCCCTACTAGAAAAATATCCTAACCATTTTCCTGGGAGGAAGAAAAATGACAAGGACCACGATGAGTTTCTGGGTCAGAATTCTGTCGAGGATGCTGACTCCTACTTAGACCAGGGTCCCAGCTCCACACTGTTGGCTGTCGAGCTGACAACACTCTTGGTGTGGGGCCATCCTGTGCACTGTAGGATGTTTAACATCATCTCTAATCTCTATCCACTAGATGCCAGTAGAAACTCCCCTCCAAGCCGAGACAATGTCTCCAGGCATTTCCAAATGTTCCTAGGGTGCAAATTCTCCCCCGATGGGAACCACTGCTCTAGAATAACGGAAAAGAAGTGAGGGCAAACTTCTAAAGAAGAGGCGCACAATTTCACACAGGCTCATGAGCTGACTGCCATGATTAAATCATTGGCGAGAGTATCCAAAGGCTTTAAAACACAGATGTTTGGAAATAAACAGCTGTGAGGAAATGAGCGACAACTTGTAGGAGCTGACATAGGGCTTCATGTGTTCTGTGCTGACCCGCTGCACAGGCTGGCTGAGCCATGGTGCGCAGAGCTGTGGGAGGGCAGGTACGGGGGGTCTGAAGCTCCCGTGCGTGCTGCAGTGACCATAGTAAAGGCAGCATCTATCACACTGATGCTTTCCCATCCGTTCATTCTGAATCAGCAGAGAGTGGATTTTTAAGAATATTATACGACAAAACATTGGCTTGATGTTTGCAAAACATTTTCTCAACGCTTAGCGAACACCCAGGTCTCTTAGAGAGGCTAACGGATGCGGGTCTAGTGCCCCATGGCTCACACATGGCGGGTCTAGTTTAATGCCCAGTAGAACCAAAACCACTGGCAGCTTTGCATTCGTGGGATCAGCACTCGACTTCACCCCCCAGGGACGGTGTTGTTTTACTTGTAACAAAAATGCCCAGGTTTTACCGCAGGCAGGAGTTCTCAGTTTTTACCTTCTCAGTGTTTTACCTTCCCTTGAGCAGGACCTAGGAAGCGCACACTGTGCTCCCTCTCCCTCCTCACCCCACGCCCACACGGACGGTGTTCACAGGCACCAGGAGGTCTGGTCAACAGTGCCTGGCTCTGGGGCTGGTGGAGATCGTGGGGCCTGAGCTACCTTACAGTGACTGCTCGGCATCTTACCTTCGTCTTGCTGTCGAAACAGGTGAATCCCACGGCAAAGTCCACTGTGAAGCAGCGCGCTTCTCCCTGCCAGCTGCACGTGTAAGTTTTGGACTAGAAAAAAGTGTTAATTTTGAGAAAACATTCTTTCATAACGCTGTTTAACATCAATCAGGTAGTGATAGTATTTTCCCCCACGGTCAGAAACTACTTTTTAAAAAGTCATAACATGCAAACCACGTGGAGCGACACTGGAGGCCCCGTCACAGGAAACCCGCAGAAACAGTCCGCACACAGCCACTACTGCCTCGCTTTTGGTCTGTGTGTAGAAGTTGGACAGTCTGTACAGGCATCGCTCTAACTGAAAATAAACACAACAGAGCCCAGCAAATCTCTACTTGGCAAAGTGTTTTTGAAAACAACCAGATTACTAAGTTTTTTGTTTGCTAACTCATTCAAAAAGACCTCCTCTGTCATACGCTCATTTTTTTTCTCTCGTTTAAGTTGCCTGGCGCGATGGAAGGTTAGGGCCGAAAGTGAGTTCCCGGAGCATCTAGACCCTGCTTTTCCTTGGGAAGCATTCTGAAGAGCAGTTCACCTTAAAACAACCAACGGCAGAAAAGCGGAAGCAGCGACAACACCCAACACCAAGGACGGAGGCCTGGGGCCCCTCCCAGGTGAGAGGCTGCAGTGGCTCCTGCGTCCACCGTCCACCCACCAGGGCCGGTGTGGGGGCTCTGCTGACACAAGACCTTTTATGGGGAGAAACCAAAGCTGTGAAGCACCTGGGCTCACGGTACCAATGCTGTTAGGCCTTGGGCAC